CTGGGCTACCCGGCGGTGTACAGCTTCTCCATGGAGGGGGATGCGGAGAACTGCCTGGCGCTGACGCCGCTGAGGGTGTTCACGGTCCAGGCCTCCTGCCGTAGGATAAAGGACGGTCTCAGGGTCCAGGTGTATTCCTTCAGCATCCCGGAGAGCCTCTGCGCGGAGCTGGAGGAGGTGCTGGGTGCCTGGTGTGATGACCTGAGGGAGGCCTTCAGTGCACAGAGTGACTTTGTAGATCTCTGCATTTCAAGCGAAGTGGTGTCTCTTCCAGCGGTTGCCTTGTAAAACACAAACTCTGACTTTTTTTGTCTATTTCTCACCTGCATCAGGGAGCAAGAAGAGAGACCCAGTTCCCGTCTGAGTGGCCCACACAGCCCTGAGCACCAAAGGCTGAATTGTGACGATCTCGGGCCCCTGACCTCGTAGGCCAGTTCCAAAGCAAATACCGGTACTTCCCAGAAGAGCCGTGTCTGGATGTGCACGCTCACAGCTGCTCTGCAGCTTCCATCCTGACCACAGAGTGTGCCCTGTAAAGTCAGGGTCTGTTTATTCACTGCTAACAGCTGAGGATTAATAAAAAATTTGAACGCTGCAGTATTTAGAACTTGTGAATTTTATTGTAGGCTCCATATCGTATTTACTGCTGAGCCTGTGGTTGAATAAGGGGCAAGTGCTACCGTAACACCTGCACAGTGCAGCTCCAAAAGGGGCTTAAAACCCCCGTCTCTGTCGAATAATGTCCTGAACCCAACAGGTAAGTACAAAACAGCAGAAGGTGCACCGCAGCGAGGGTGCGTTGCTGCTGGTGAAGCACAAGTCAGTTTCCGCAGTGAGGTTGGTCATGGAGAAGGTCCTTCAGGGTCTGTAACTTGTGAGGAAAGTGACCGTGGCGATCGCTATCAGTGCCACCAGGAGAGGGATCCAGTGACCGTGCTGTCTCTGGAAGAAGTGAGTGTTATAGGAAATAGGTGGGGAGAAGAAACTCCTCATCTCATCCCTAGCAGACACATCATTTGTCTCACCGCACTGCACAAATAAATGGGGGGGATTTTTCCCAGACCTTGGTCTGGCAGCACAGGGAGTCGGGGCGAGGGACGCCTCCCACCTTTGCCTGCCTGCTCTGGCAGAGGTTGAGCTCGTCGCGGCACTGGCGCAGCCTGCTCAGGCAGGAGCGGTACTCCTCGCTCAGGGCCTCCAGCTCCCAGCGCAGCTCCGTGCACTGCAAGCACAGCAAGGGGCCGTTAGCAGGAGGGGTCCCCGCGCTCCTGTACGCACCGGGAGTGGTGGGGGTCCCACAGAGGCAGCAGCGCTTCACCCCTGTGCCGGCACTGCAGTGACGGGGGAGTTTCACTTCTGCCACCTGTGTGTCCAGAGGTACCTATAGGGGACAGAGCA